TGCCCAGGCCAAAACTCTTACTCATGATTTCATTATAAAACGCATTTGATTTTGAGAAAATGAAGGTTCGTCAACAGAAATGTCGCACATGTGTGGCGTGATGACTACCGCCCTTATATATATTACTAACAAAGAGGTTATAGGTTGATATTAAACAATTATTCAGGGTTGAAGTATATTTTAGGTACTGGTAATAAATATTTGAATATGCTAGTTATATGTTACAATGTACTAGTTAAAACTTTGCTAGAAGCTAACATTTTCGATGCAATGATTTTAGTAAACAGGGTGTAGCACAAAGGACATGAAAATACTGAAACTAGATACTTACATTTATACTAGTATTTACTATAAAAATTAATCAGCTGTCAGAAAGCATGACAATTCAAGTACATTAACAATCCTGCAAAAGCTCCTCAATTAAAAAAATCTAATTGAATGACAATCCTGCATCAAAACGAGCAAAATACAAACTACAGAATACTTGCTTCACTTGAAAAAAAATATCACTTCAATCACTAAGCAGTGAAAAAAAGAATTATTGATGAGACAAGGCGCCCTCAGGTGGTCGGGTAGAAAGATGTGGTTAAAGAGCCAATGCTAACCAATAAATTTAACCACACTTTACATCTTTTATAAAACTACTCAACTAGGTAGTAGGCAATCTTATTATGACTTGAAATTCCGCTTTTACACAACATGCAATGAATATAATATTTCAATACAAGAGACAGCAATAAATCTTGCAACTAACAAGAGTGGTTTTACTAGACTACTCCATCATATGCAACAAAAGCTCAATTTGCAAGTTCCGTTCCATTTAACTTACAACAGTAAGTGACCATATATTATGCAGATTCATGTAATAAATTGTATGCAAATGGCGTAGAATCAAAGAAGTTATTTTGTTTTAAACTAATGTGACAATTTTATTATCTATGAAAGAACGTAATCACTATTTTATATTCCCATTGGCAGAGCAGCCTCAAGGTTTTATGCTTTTATGAAACTAACTACTGTTCACCTTAGCAAATTTCAACACAACAAAGATGAAGCATGTAAAAATCGTTAAAAGAGTGCAATCATGATTTAGCGAAATTATAAGCATCTACATGTTGCATTGGAGGAAAGTATTAACCTGCAACAAACACAGCCGAACATCAATTATCTAGACAATGACAATCTGGATTTCTGATTACCTACTGGATACATTCCATTCTAATAACTTAATCAATTATCTTCACAAGTTTAGCTCAGCCCCCAGGGAGTTTGATAACAGATGGCTAAACTGTATTTGAGTCGACGTATCTTTCTGAATTACAGAGGCATCTACCGATGAAACCTGTTATCTAAAGTGATTTTCATTACTGTGGGAAACAGCGTAAATAATGAAAACGTTGCTGAGCAACTTCATAGTGCAATCTGAGGGAATGAAAAGGTTTAGTCAAGAAATACATTTCCAAACATGGGTGTGTGAGGGCAGCATATTACTTACCCCAATACTTGTAGATATCTGTCTTTGAAGTCTGAGTTGTTCTTTGGCATTCTCTTTAACAATTCGCTGCAGTTCATCTTTTTCGCCGAATAAATTACTATTCTGTTGAAAAAAAAGATGAATTACATTAATAAATATATTATAAAATGTAGATTATATAATATAAGAAATACATTTTTTCCAATAATGTTTTAATCTCAGCTAATTACCAAGTTGGAGGTACATATGTAAATGCATAAGTGAATGTGTGACCATCATTTTAAATACAGCCATTAGGGTCTTCAAACTCACATTATTGACTTTTGAAATTTACTCTGTATATTTGAAAATTAACTTAACCTTTTCTTTTAAAAAAAAAGGTTTATCAATTAAAGTTAAAGTATACATCTATGAATTTATTAGTTTACAAAACTAATAAATTCAAAAACTACATTCAAACCCATCCACCAATCAGAGTGCTTCATTCAATAATGATGTCATACCTCTAAGGATGGATCTAGTTGTTTGTGTTTAAGTTTCTCCAGTTCTTTCCTCAACTGATTGACCTCTTTATCTTTGGCAAGAATCTTCTGGGCATTATCTGCCAAGTCTTTAGCTCTCTGTCTTGCAAATACTTTCTTGTAATGGTCAATATCCTGTGCACCCCCACTAGTACCGTCCTTAAGTTTCTAATTTAAAAAGAAAACTTGTATATTAGATACAATGACCTTATGTGAGCGATCCTATGGGTAAGTCTTTCATCTGACATGATTTGTTATCAGTGATGACGCGACTATAAAGTTCTTAGATTTTGCACAAAAATAATATTCACAATCTAATTGCAACCCAACGTATAATAAATTTCATGAAACTATCATTTGTGGAAATTCACAAAACTTTTAATGCAAACTTTTATGTGATGAAGGATTCAGTGTACTGGGTCTAAAAAATAAACTAGAAGCACATTACGATGGGAACAAAGAAATATTAGAACCTTAAATCATTTTATTTATTTTTTTATTTAAAGTTGCATCTTCTAAAATCAATTGAACATAATCCAAGTACCTAGGTTACCCTAGTTAATTTCAAAACACAGGATTTCTTGTTTCAAATTTTTCCAAAACGAAACAGAACAATCTAGAACACAATTTATATAAAAGTCAAACAGAAAAAATGTACAATATACTAAACACAATTAAAGGGAAAGAATAAAATAAATAAATAAATAAAACTTGTTGGGCATGTATTTTGTTCCCAACTCTTTATTTCAGTTTATCTCATTTTATCTTTCCAATATTGCTACCATATCATACAAATAGCATGGTGTAACTTAAAACAGAAATCATAAATGCTGTATTCACCCTCTATATTAAAGGCTTAGTTGTATTGTTGGTAAAACTTAGTTAAAAGCCATTTCAATTTTAAGTATTTATTATTTTTTGTTAAAATCCTAATAGAAAATACTTCCGTAGAATACTGATTTTGAAATTAAGTCATCTTTAGTTGTCAAACAAAGAATCCTATGTGAGATTTGATGAATGGATGACACCTTAAGACACTGTAAACTTAATCACAATGGAAGCTACAGAACTGGTTGGTGATGTTCAGCTAATGGCAAGACACTTTTCATTCAGAAATCCCGCAAATACAAAGTTGCATTTATTACAGTACACATATAACTTGACCTGTTCACGGCTTCAAAACAAATTTTACCAACAGTATAACTTTAAAGAGTAAAGAGGCTGAAAAAAATAGTGCGAGTTCTGATCTAAAATCCATAATATAAATGTAGAATATTTCAATGTGTCACCTAATCATTCCCAATATAATTCTAGCAGCTTGGCAAGACACAGAAAATAAACCAAATATCCTCCGGTAAAAAATATTATTAATAATTACAAAGACTACAAACAAATATAATAATAATTCTTCTTCTGACTCTCCGGTGGTCTGTAAAACAGAAATAATTCACTGCATGACAAATGACGACACTAAGCAATGATGAAATACAACAGAATGACAAACGCTACAACATAAATGACATAAAGCAGACAGTGTATCAAAGGCTACCACTAGAGGGCAGCAGATAAACTAGTTCCAGTTTACAGATTGTAAAAAAATTAAAAAGCAGATTTGGATGACGCAATTAGGATAGTTTTAAAAGGAAATTTATGATCATTTGAAATTGTTTGAGAAAAATATAAAAAAATTCTGGAGAACATTCATGTTTATTTCACCAATTTATCTAAATTGTGAAATTTACTTCACAACGGACACTCTACCTTGCCTGCAAAATTTTTAGGAATGTATTTTGTTTCTGTCAATAATGAGAAATACTTTATTGCCCTCCAAAAAGTCATCACATGAGCAATTTATGTGAATATATGGGTCAAAGGTCAATAACAATGCATGGCAGGCTGCATACTAATACTATGCACAGATATAACCGTAGTACCAAGCGAGAGATTTGGTGACACCCCCACCCCATCTCAAATTTTTACTATCATGGTTTCCTTGTCATCTCCTAAATACCCAGCTAGATGAATTAATAAATATGAGTTTCATGAAACAAACAATTTTACAATGTTGTACATGCTTTATGGGACTCATAACGGTCACATGTCATGACAACCAATGCCGTTGTGAAACTGATAGACAACTGAAAAAATGAAAATGTTAGAGGGGGGTTGCTGAAAATATCTAGTTTACTCAGAGGAAACACTGAACCAATGATTTTCTATTTAGATTCCAAGTCTGAATCAAATCGCTATGTGTCCTAAAAGCGACCTCAAGGTGTTCCCCTTTCACTTGGGCTGAATATATTGGATGTTTACAACAAATAGGACCACCAACATAGACTTGATCTTGGGCCAAGTTTGATAGATATCAGCGCAAAGATGTCTGTGATACAGGTGTGAACAAAACACAGATGGAACACAATCTATAGTGTCAGATCAGATATCAATACGTGCTATAGAAATGACCGTATTCTCACAACTGAACTTGATACGATTCGTCCAA